TGACCAGCTGCTGGAACCAGAAACATAAACATGCGCACAGACGCACCTGACGCAGTTGGTCCACCACTGGGGCCTACCAGATGGATCATAAACACTTCATCGAACCGAAGTTCATCAGTGTCTCGCCACCTGTCATTCTCTGTCGCTGCAGATCGGGTATTTATTCAATCAGGAATGGGCACACACCTATCTATTGGCTTCACGAAGCAAACAAGCTCCCGTTTCATGATGTCTTCGTACAGAGAAAGCCTGACGGGACATTTCACATTTCGGTTTACCGCAAGGAAACCTACGCAGAAATTCTTTTACATTACGAGAGCAACCACCCGATCTCTCACGAACGGAGTGCCATGAACATCCTCCTTAACCGAACAAGAACTCACTGCTCTGACAACGAAACCTATCAAACAGAACTGAACTATTTGTTCAAACTGTTTTCCCAGAATGTGTATCATAGATATTTTGTATACCGATGCATGAGACGACAGGAGTTAAGAAAAGACAAGGAATTAGATTGTTCCGATCAGGCGCCCAAACCGAAAAACTGGCGAACACTTCAGTGCATTAGGAACGTGTCCGAACTAGTTGAAAGACACTTTAGGAAGCACCAAATACATGTGGCGCACAGGCTGACGACTACACTTCGTAGATAAGAAGGAAGTCTTCTATAAGATACCATGCAACAGCTTCGATGCGGTTTACTGTGGTCAAACTGGGAAATCGGCCTCTACGCGAACACGAACTGGCCGTAGGAAGGCCAGTAGTACGGTGAATCATTACACAGTTCTATGCGGCTGGCTGCTTTTTGTCGGTTTGTGAATATTAAGGGGTTATTTCGCAGTGGCCGATGGATTTCAGCTCAAATATTGATATTAAACTTTGGACCGTGCCTGAAAATGTCGGTTTCGTAAGATTTCTCTAAGTTCACTCATTAGTTTCCTCGAAAATTTAACAAGGCATTTTTAAATATATATGAATTGTAAAACGTGCATTTAAAGAGATATATATAGGGAGATGAATTTTTTTGGGATATAGTAAACTTTTGGGTAAATTTTCGTGACCGTTTCCCCAGCCCGTCTTTATACAACGGGCTTGCATAAATAATTAACGTCTAGACCGAGTGTGACTAAAGGATTCTATTATTGGTTAAGGTCATCTTCTCGGGATTGTTTGAGTCAGTTTGTATCTGTTCTTAACGATTTTGTATGTGGCAGCTAGATCGATATGCCGGTTGATGCATGCCTCATCTGAGTGCATTGCCTCCAGGAATTCGCGGTCTTTCCTTATTGGGCAGGCGCCATTAATGCGAGTGCTCATCCATGCAAATTTGTGCCCAGTATGTACATGGTCACCTTAGAGGGTCGCGCCTCCTCACCGCTAACTGATATTCATTTATAAGGATTGAGACAGATTTCCCAGTTTGGCTATAATAGATGGCATTTCAACTGGGACATGCGATTTAATAGTCAACATTTTTTCTTTCGAGATAGTCAACCCTGTCCTTAGGTATTACAAGCTGTATGCGTAAGGTAGTTGCAGGCTGGTGCACTTCGTGTGTATGGTGTTTTTACTTGTATTTCTACTAGTTCAGATACATTTTTCACGTATGGTATAATTTGCCGCGTGGTTACTTTTGGTGCTCGGACGGTCGTAGCTTTTTTAAATGCAACCGTTTTGAACAAAACGGACTACAGAGAGAAAATGATGCCACTCTTAAGAGATGATTTAACATACGAACCTCTAACTGCCAAGCCCGCAAAATCACAAAACTCATGTATTGAGAAAACACTGAAACGCCTTACAGAAAGGAAATAAATCTCGCTGGTTCTTGCCAAGTCTTCAAAACAGGATGAACCAACAACTGTCGGGATATTTGGCCTTCCCAAAATCCATAAAACTGATAATCTGCTGTTATCGATAGTCTCCCTAGTCGGTGCACCCATATATAAGACTTCGAAGTTGCCACTTGGCCAACTACATCCACTCACGAAGAACTCTGAGAACTCCATTCAGGATTCAAAGGACTTCCTATACTAATTAAAAGGAGTCAGTGTTACATGTGACGAGGTATTGGAATTATTCACTGTGGTCTCGCTCTTTACCTCGATTCCACTAGATTTAGCGGGAACCTGCATCCGAAGAACTCCTTCAAACCTACACTTCTGAGGTGCCTTCGAGGGCTTTATTCCCACTCCTATATTTCTGTCTGAAACAAATTTTTCAATCTCCAAACAATACTATCGACAAATAAAAGGCGCTCGCATGGTTTCACCCATATCCGGTTTTCTGGTAGTGGCTGTACTGAAGAAATTTGAAACACTAGCTCTTCCCACAGTCAACCCAAAAATCTGGCGGTCGTATGGTGATGACACTTGGCATCGTCAAGACAAAGTAGCTAAATCTGCTCCATCCTAATGTCAGCATTATATTTCTAGAAAAAGGTTTACTTTCGACACAGAAGTTAATGGACAACTCCCATTCCTGAATGTCCATGTGAGTCGAAAAACCGATGGATCACTTCACACAACAGTTTATCGCAAACAGGCATATTCACAGGTGATCCCGAAGAACTACACTGCCGTCGTCAGATATGGTTCGTCTAATAACAAGCTTAAATTACTCCGGACGTTTGGCGTACTGGGCTGAACCAAATAGTAACTTTTAAAAAATTCTATGGGAATAGGACCGGCCGTCATCATTGTACCAAACGTCTTTGCTTCGAGGCTCAGCAGGTTCGAAATCACTCACCTTCATCTCGAACATTCCACGCAAAGCCGCCCTACCCTGCATCATACGCGTTGACCCGTGACAACTCGGCTGACCTCACGTCACGCACCACGTTCGTCCAGACAGCCACAGCCGTCGAAGGCTCACTCAGTGAAGGGTACACCGCTTTAGAATAGTCCCGACCTAGACTTGACGCAAATGTCGAAGCCGTCAACCTCACAGTCACTCGAGCACTAGTTAACACCACCATTACGTGTCCTGGCCTCGTCAACGGCCCTTGTTGCCTAAGGTGGCAACCCTGCTTCTTGTACACAATAAACCACTCTGTACAGGACAAAGTGCTAATTCTTACTACTCTCGACTTATCTTATAAATCGGGTCATAATCTGGCTATTGTGACATTCAATATACCCCCACCACCTGATCCTTTACAGGAACAATGGGTGACCGGGTGCAGTACTGTCGCTAATAAACCAGTCTACACTTTTCCTGCTGTGAACGCTACTTTAACTGCCAGTGCTGTTCGTGCACTGAACTCATTAAAGCCATATACTATTAAGCTCACCGAGACAGAAACCAGCGCAGTCAGAAATTTTCCAAATACACACACCATTATCCCTATTTCCTCAGATGACAAAGGCCTAGCATTCGCACTATGCTCTGACCTATTTAGACACCTTATGTTTATTCGTAACAGAATAAAACACGAGTCCACCGGTTTCGTCGGACAATCTGAAGGACTGTTTATATTTTTTTATTTTTGGAAAGCACAATTTACATTCGAAGATCCGGGGCAGTCTGAAATGGAACGGAAATAAGCATTGGTTATAAATTCGGTCCCGATATTGTTGCTCTGTCTGTTACTAGCGAAAACAAAGTAGGCACGATTTTATGGTAAAACTGGTGGTAAGGACCATTTTTTCCGCGAATGAAGTTGTGAAGTGTGAATAAAATGGAATTCTTTAAAATCCCCGAAGAAGAAAGGCAATTTCCAAAAAACGTCACCAAGACTGGTTTTTAGGGCCAAACCCTTTAAAAGAGTTTAGGAGACCGTTGTAGCTAACAAACCTGTTTCACGGTGAAATGCCGGCCGAAATGCCTATTAAAAGAAGATATTTTCTGAAAAAATATTTCGACGTCTGGTCATTTGTCTTACAGGAAGCAAAAACCTACGTGGAAAAGTGTCCAATAAATACATCTCTGTCCGAGAAGTGTGTCCACCTCCTAAACTGTCATAAATCAGTACAAATAAAGGCCAAATCGCATTTCTTCGTCGCAGTTTTGATGATCTCATTTGACAGTAAGTCAAACAGAAAGAAAGACTTGGAATCAACCCTTCTACTAACGTCCAGTAGACTCAGTATTATGCAGGAGTATGGCTCCAACCCGTCTCCGCATATGGTTATTGTCATACAAAATTTTATTTTGTCCTATCGTATTCTAGTCATTACAAGAGAGAACTTAAGGTGGAAAGGCGTATGTGGCTACGGCGATCGTCCGTTGACTTTCCTTCCAAAAACGTTGCATTGCTTCGGCCCAGGAAATCTGGTCGGCCATGGAAAGCATTTGAGTTGACAAAGTTCCTTGGAGACTTTGGCCTCGCGGCATCTGCGAATGGCAGCACGCCAACACTGGGGGTCGATGCAATCAAGGTTGAACAGGGGAATACGTGCTCCCATGTATTAACATCGCCTTGAGCCAAAATCCTAGGAGTGCCTATTCCCCTTTCCTAACTGTAGCCCCAACCGTAGCCATCCTAATCCTGAACACAACCCTATCATCAACAATTCTGACCAAAGATCGCGCTCCAACATTGATCCCGTACCCAACTCTAACCCCTCCCTGGAATTTAGCGTAAAGCCATCTGTAATAGGAAGGATACCGTGCACAACCACAATCCCTGCACCTTTATATAGCAAAAACGGTTAGTGCTTTCGCTAAATAAAAGCAAATTGTTCTTTCCTGATTGCCAAACTATTGCACAAAATGCGTTAAATTTATACCAGACGGCACGGTTGATGTACTTATTTCGTGAAACAATAGGTGACCCTTCGACCTCCAGATCCTGACAAGCCCATCAGTTTTTCTCAGTCGAAACCGTAAGTCAGTGCTCCAGCGAGACCAACGCCATATATACCGCCGCACAGCTCAATCCAAGTGGGTGCGTCTACGGCTCTCAGTTCTCTTTTTGCATATAAAATGTGAACATTCAAAACCGTTCTCAAGACAAAGATATATGCTTGAAACCCACCTCGGTATTGCAGAACGGAAGATGTAAACAGATTGTGACGCAGTCAGCGAGATGCGTGGGTAAGCAGGGCGACTAACGGTGGTGGAATCTAGGCTTCTGTCCTCGAGACACACTGGCGCGGACTTGATAAGGGTTTTCAAAGCGGCGGTCTGCATCAAGTGAGAAGTTGTACTAAGGGACAGTGTGCTCCTATGCGCTGCACGTCCATGTACAAAGCGGTCTTCTTTCCACCCTTCCCTCAAACGAAGTTTACGCTCCTCGCACTTAATTTATAGTTATCACGGTCATTTGCTTTGACGGTGTGTTTTTTTGAAAAAAACCTTCAAAATTCACAGCACTAACACATCTTTCGATCTCACGTCAACTTCTCGAAATCCATTCCACTAGGAAAACTTAAACATCGGCCGACTTACCGAGGAGGGGAGGCGTCCTATGTGGAGTCTGCTTCCACCGATTTCCATCGGCGGAGGATTTGAATCAGTGGGACCAGCGGTCTATGGTTGAATAAAGACTAACATATACAGGCTGATATATAAAAGTTGGAAAGTGATTTACACTTGAAATGCGCCTTTCCCATCAACAGTTAGATCTGCAGCATAACTCTTAGAATCGACTGAAGAATTGGTAAACTTGGAATGTCCGTCAACGTGTTGTGCAGTCAAAGGAATTTAAGGATTCTGCTGCTTGATTTGCATGGTTCTAATCACAAACCCGTTACATGGACAGCCCGTATTACTGGTGGCCTTAATCTAGATAACTGGGTGTTTGGGCTTATAATTAGTCTTATGGGTATGGATATAATTGCTGCAATTTCATCACGTGCAGCAGCAATTAACGACGCAAATGTCGGCCATCAAACAATTAGCACACCAAGGGCATCGATCCCGGATGAAGGGGGGAGCCGTGAATGTTCATAGGTATGCGGTAGCATGGCGACTGCATCCTATAAATACTGCAGTCTCTTGTGCGTGAATCACCCGTATCTGCTGCTGTCTCTGGTGATGGATTTGAGCAGGAATCTGAAACGTCAGGCCAATAAAGCTCTTGCCACAGCGATTGTGTCTCCTTCTTCAAGACCACGTCCTTGGACTAGTCTCTTCGCTTCTATTGACAACTTATGTTAGAGCCAGGTACGCCCTAGAATTTGGCACAAGGCCGCCTGTGTTATAGGGATCCTTATTCCCATGCCTGACTCGCAAAATCCTGACAGTTACTTCCTCAGCTTACTTAAAATTTGCCGTGGAGGGGTTTTACTAAATCAAACATTACGTTGGACTTTGGTAAGGTTTAACAAAAAAACTTCATCCATACATCGAGTAGTCATAGAAGGAAGGAAGGGAAATGAACAATTCTGCCAAAATAACTACGTTCACATCCCTCTACCTCGGTACCTTTTTCAGTGGCTGATGCTCTGTGGCCATAGCTTTGTTATTCGTCCTTGAAAGAGCGTGCGCCGAGTTAGTTCGCATGGTGCTTATTTTGCCCTCGGTCAAGGGCTCCTCCCTTGTCCGACCGTTTTTCTTGGTCTCAGGGGTGGGACACCCGAAGTTCATATGAAGTCCGCTCACCTGCAGCGCATGGTCGGCTGACTGCGAAGTCAATGCGCATACAATTGTAAAGTATCCGAAAATAGACATAAGAATGTCATATTACTGAACTATTAAGAACTGGATGAAATCAGATCGCAAAAGGTGTCTAAACTGAGCTCGATATAGACTCGCCTAGTGGATGCCTACTTATGTTCGGCTGGTTGTTGATTTAAAAATGTTTAATTATTAATTTCTTGTCTTGTCCTAGTTTGCTCATCTAACAGTTGTTGAGATCCTCGGCACTGTGTTCGGTCGCAGAGTAACCCTGTTTGAGGTAGCGAATATCGACAGTTCTATCGTCAATTCCGACAATGACCATCGTGTGTACCACAGCATATGGGCGCAGGGGCTGTGACATGCGCTAGAATTAGTACACGGTAATAGTAGATGGCAGGGCCGGTGGATTTTAATCCCCCCTAGCAGCATCACAACGACAACCGACTCACCATCCCCCAAAATATCCTGCCAACACTGTCACCGTACGTTCACGTCACACATCGGCCTGATCGGCCGCGTGCAAAGCCATCGTACGAAGACTGGCGAATCAGTTCCTGGTGTCCCAACGTACATCAGACGCCATCGCCTCCATTGTCCGCATTACCCTATGCACATCCAGTCATCACATAAACCTTTTCGTTCATACGCGCATTCATGAAGACCAGCGGTAAATCACCGCAGCTCCGGCCGCGCCAGCCACCTGCGCCCTCTTCCGCCTCCGGTCTTCTTGACTCTATCATGACACGGGACTCAAGTGGGAGAGGAAAGAGTGTGGTAGATGCAGTGCAAGTCGCCGTCACTGTTCTCACATGGTAGACATCACGGCAACTACGATCGGACTGTTAATGATAGTGGACATGCGTTGTATCCGCCGCACCTATCTGAGCTTGGTGTCATGAAGAAGTCAAGAAGACGGGTGGCGGAGTTGGACGCAGCGGCTGACAAAGCTAAGCAGTGCATCTGCGCGTACCACACACGCTCGGTCCACGCGCGCACGCTGGACCAGGTTTTCACAGAAACAAAGGGACGACATGGATCTCATTTGAGCGGGAAAAAGGCACCTTGTTAGTGATGTTATTACTGCTAATAGAAAAGACGTGTAAATCCACGTTCTTTTTGAAAGATCCATGCTCTACCTATCACAGACGTGGATAAATGCAAAAAGTTCAGCGTGAAGACGGGATTAAATCAATAAATATTATATTGCGCCTTTTGGTGGTTGAGTGTCCGACCCAGTCCCTATGGTCTGCTATACCAAAAAGGCATTCCAGATATTTGAAATATCATACGTTGTGCTAGGTTTTGAGGCGACAAAGAACAAAGAATTAGGCGTTTTAAGTAGGCTTCAAAAAACCATTTACCAAAACACGTGATGTTTAGTTAGAGGACAAAGTATTATTGTGTGGCGTCATTTTATCTTAGAGCACACAGGCTGCTTCATGCGTCCACTAGAATAATATGGCCGGAAGTAAATCAGATCATAAAGACAATGCAACAGCGCCATTTTGAAATGTTAATCTAATACTACGCAAAATAAATAAATGAACAAATAAACTGTCTTATTTAGCACCCCTAAGGGTACTATCATAGCATAATTGGGGCTTAGGAAGATCAGAACTCAATTTGCTAGCAGTATTAACTACTGAATGATCTACTTTTTTTCTGACAGCCGTTCCCTTGATTCCTCTTTAGTTTATTTAGAAACGAATGATCGACCAACGATTCAGTAAGTAAGATGAAGCATTTTTCGCATTTGCGAATAAAAGAATAGCACTGCACAACATACATGCCTCTCTCAATAATTCACGTGCCACACTTGAAAAATGCCAGGTCATTTCTCTAACATTTCGTATTTTCAGAATAAACCCTTCGGATGATTTCACTGCGTATGTAAGCATCTTAATCCATTTTGGGGGGAAACATGAAAATATAACACACTTAATTTAAAGCATTGGATATCGTGCGTTTTTGAATTTCTCTTCGACACATGCTAGGCGAGTCTCTGTCTTAGTCTGAAAGATTATTTTACCGAGTTTTCAAAACAAACCTCTTACGTGCAGTTCGTTTAGATATTAAATAGCGAAATTTGACAGATACACCTTCACCACACCGTCACCACTTGGAATGAGCGTCACTGCAATAGTGTGAATGCAGAGGACGCGATGCGAGTTCAGGGGCCCGAATTCGGCTCCCAGAGCGCTTGAGTGTTTCCCGCTTTTGTGAGTTCCTTGTATCCCATAATCTGCCTTGAAACGGTATGGTCGACATGTAAAGACTACTTGTCATGAACTGAACATAGTATGACACTGTGCATCAGCAGAACTGAAATAATAATAATAATAATACATAGATCATTCCAGTCTTATCATGTAAGTTTTCCAGACTATCCAGCATGCATCGGTCAGCGATCTAGTTTTACTGGAACTTTTACTCTCCGAAAGATCGCAAACTGCTTTTTCGAAGGGTTTTGTTTGTCTGTCGGACTCTTCCGATTAGGTTGCATTTCATGAGGGAAGCTACCCGTGGAACGTAACTAAAAATGGAAAATGGATGGAAAGCAAACTGCGCTCTTCAAGGAATATATACCTCAAGTGAGGGCTCAAGACCCATGTTCTGTCTTAATTGAGAATGGCGTGCATGCAATTTCAATTCTTTCTCTTGCAAACTGGGGGCCGGAGGAGCAGCAAATATTTTGTCCAGGGGACAGCAGGGTGACCTGGTATAAATATAAGAACGAGAATGGTCTGATCCCGAAAACCTCCGGTTCACATTTGAACATATGACAAGAGATCGCGTGAGTGCGGACAATTGGATAAGGACTACTAAATAAAAACTGGTTTGTGGCCAGAGGACACAACAGCGGGTCGGATCCTATTTTGTAGCCGTACCTGCAGTAGGTAAGCTCCAGCCTCACACCTAACCCTTACGCCTAACAGGTATGGCTACGAAATAAGATCCTGCCCAACAGAAGACACCTGCAGGTGAGTTCAGGTCACACAACGAAAAGGAGACAGAATAAAATTCTCCATCTGAGTCCTCCCTGTTATCTCTCGATTTTCCCATGGAGAAGAGACAAAATAGGTCCCGTCGTTTGTTTGAAAGCGGGCCGCAGGAGAATTGGGTCGGCAATACGTTAACACTTCATTGTGATGACCAGGTCGCCGGGCTACTGTCCTCACGGACTCAGTGCGCAAGCTGAAGTGGCGGACGGAAACAGACGTGTTTCCCGTTGGTCACATGGAATTGGCTTGCATCGACCTGACCTACTTTTAGTGTGGTACGTGGCCCGGACACTGTAAGTTAGGATACTCTCTCAGACGGCCACATAGCGACTGGTGGGCAGAGACTGGGGGAATAATCGAGGGGAGGAAAATTCAAAAAGCAATACTTTGGCCACTTTTCTGCTGCTATCGAGCTACAAATGAACCTCAAACGGCGAAGGAGTGGGAAATGAACGGGGAGGTTAGTTTTTTTAAGATCCGCCTACGCACGGAAGTGAATGCACGAGTTAAAGGTAATCCGTAAAGGAAGGGGTGGTGGTGCGCTGGTGTTGTGAACCCTTTTTGTCTATACCACGAACACCTACTCACCTCTAAGCGGGAGAAATCCTGAATCGGCAAGGTAAACATGCAGTGGCCCATATCGGGGCGCATGTTGCAACGCTGAGCCTCTTGCGATTAATTTTACGCGCGCACCAATTGCTGTCTCTTCCTCGGCCAATCTGGCTGTCCAAACTGGCCAATCATCTTCGAGGAGGACTCTGACATGACCTCTCTGAAATCGCTGGACGATTACCCCCACCGTAACGACCCACGAACTGTATAGAGTTGTTTGAGTGAGGTGATACTTCCCGCGCAGACCTAGGATGGTGATGATGTAACTGCACGTCAGTGACAATAGCCGGCGCCCTGCCTTCCCCGTACCGCCGACCCCCCTCTCCGCAAGTCACCGTAACGTTCGCTTCTCTCTCTCTATCTACATCGGCAGCCGCTTCGGCCCACCCCTGCAGTTGCCCACAGCGCTACACTCCCCACCGGGTGTTTCTCAGGCAGGTCGGTGTTGCCTCGACATCCAAACAGGTCACTTTCTTGCTGTAACGCATCCCGTCCGTACAGTTAAACACTATTATATGTGCCGCCAGTTTCCCCCTCTTCGTATTATACCTTTATGCCCACCTAAAGTTTCTCCTCTACCTTCGTGTGGATGAGTATTGTTATGTGTTACCGACTCTACGCAGGTGGACCTTAGTCAGAATCTATTTCTGGAGCTGCGCCACCTCGGTATGTGCTATCCTTGACGTCCTCGGTCGCTACACCACTGCCCCACACTTGCGAACGCAGCACTCGCGGCATCGGACGTGCTCTCGCCCCACTGCCAACTGCTACCAACCTCCTTTCTAATATTTCTCCTATGGACTAACTCGAAACGACGGTAAACAGGAAAGCAGCAAACATTTACCAACTCCCTAACTTTCATGGTAACAATTTCTAGAACGCAAACTGTCCTCTTTTAAGGAGCCATTTTAATGCATCCATGCCTTCTGCAGCACCTCCGAAGATAAAACATGTTAGGCTCTTCATGCTTTTGAATAAATAACGCAGAATGGCTACCCAAAATCCCACTTACCCGCTACCCTGGTGCTGACTGCCCAGAAAACAAAGTTGCAAAAGGGGCTCAAAGACATGCAATGAACCCCTGGGTATCAGAAGTGGCTGGTCGCATTGTATCGAAGCAGGGGTCCAGATTTTGCACGTGCCCAGAATCACTACGCGTACGCGAGTCACGAAAATAAAGTACCGGCTAAACCTTGATGAGTAATGAAATGACAGCTGTCGTACCCAATTTGTGAAATATTCTTGTTACTGTATCAGTTGAACCGGACGAGATTTCATATCACATATATGTGAAAACTAAATCGCATACGACACAGCAACCAGTTGTTATAAATTTGCACAAGTATCCAAGACGAGCCTCTTCTTTGGTTTCACCGCAGAAAAAAGAAATCGTCCGGCTGAAAAACAAAACATGCTGCGATTTTATCGAATTGCGAATGTCTGAGAATAACTTTTAGAGGCCAGCATATCCATTACTCGCTCACGTACACTACCCTGCGCAGCCGGCTATAAATCTTCGACAATCGTTGTTACCTGACAGCAGTGGAAAAAGAGGGTGGGACGCCTTATTTCACCTTCTCATTTCCGAAGATGAGTGCAATACGAGGCTGAAAGCTCGGAAAATCTACCGAAGTGGAGCTCAGTTAGCTGATTTTGTTTACTTACTACGGAACATTTCTCTGCGGCTGTACAAAAGGTTGCCGCTATCGGGGGATCGATGGATGGTTGAGAAGCAAACAAGCCTATCCTTGTTGGCAGAGCTATGGACAAAGTCCAGTGTTAACCTCTGAGCTGACGCGTACTATGACGCTGGTAAATAATACTGGGCAAATAATTTCATATTAAGGAAGTCTTTTTCAAATGCCTTATCCAGTAAATTATTTTCAATGCTCATGGGCTCGAAGAAGAAGAAGAAGAAGAAGAAGAAGAGGAAGAGAAGGAAGAAGAAGAAGAAGAAGAAGAAGAAGAAGAAGAGGAAGAAGCAGAAGAAGACGAATAAAAAGAAGTACAGTACATCGGATGCTGTGTGTGGACGGATATAATCAATAAAAGGTGCAGGATCAAGGACGGAAGCAGAATTTGGATATTTCGCTGTTAAGAAACAAACCTGTCCAATTAGCTTATGACGAAATAGGCTAAACATGTTACATTTATTAGCGACGGGCGAGTTTTATGCACAACTGAGCCGGTGGTATTATCCGCATTAGTGAGTAACACTGTCTCATCAGAATCGGACGGTATTGTCGTCATTCAATCATCATTATGGACGAAAAGCTCACAGCCAAGGAAGCGGACGACCAGAAGCAGCCCCTCACGCCATCGGGTGGGCTGACCCATAGTGACTGCCTTGACGAATTGCTTTCGACCTCATGAGTACGTTGGCGAAACTCTCCCAGGCAACGGTATGGAGAGGCGCCCCCATTTAACGGACGGCAGACTGTGGATCACGTCATGGGGGCTTTTATTTTGGCATCCATTTGAAAGCTTTTGCAGACATTACACTGCCAATAACAATCACTTCTCACGACTTCAAGTCGTCACTCAAACTCCTTTATTTTTGAAATTTACATTTTGTTCATTTTTAATTAACACACTCATCGATGAGTCTTTCGGGAGAAATTCCAGCGATTTCTGTGTTTTCTGCATTTTGTCAGCTTACTGTCTAGTGTGCTGGCACACCTGTAAAAACTCTCCTTAGCACCAATCCCGTATGACACGATCCACGGTCTACCGACAGTGAAGTGGGGTCCTCCTCCATACCGTTGCCCTGTTCCATGTTAGACACTCGAACTCCGATTTTAACCTTGCCTCTTCTCCGCATGCGTCAGCCGTTGGGTCTGCCCGAACTGATTCGAACCCTACGCATAGCGTTTGGTAGGCAGAATGCAGGTGCAGCTTACAGTTGTTTATATGCATTCATACATGTTTTTGAAGGATTACAGGCAGAGCCCTTGATGACCCTGTTTATATACAATGATTTCGCACACTCACACTCAAAGTAAACTTGCAGACATTTCAAATGTGGTCGGTTCACGATACAACAATAGTAATGTTGAGTCGCTTCTATTCCCTGCGACTCATCACGGAAGCCTTTTTGTCGAAAATTACACGAGCAAGTTTCTTTCAAATATGCGAATTTTGTCGGCCGCCATCCTCTCACTTGGTAGCCAGCTCCATGGTCGGTCAACCCGCTGACTAAATTAAGGCTTCGTACAGTCTAACCGCGTGCGTTCACACTTGATTTTGTAGGGATGACCGCGTAACTGGTTTGTACAGCCTAAATCCAAAATGTCATCCGGTCTCAGTGAGCAACCATGGCCTCGGACAATCTGGAATGTCTAGAATAGACTGCAGTTTAGTTGCCTACAAAATAGAGCAAATAGGCCAAGCACATTCAACCTCTCCTGATACGAAAAATTTTTTAGGCCATCGACCGCCTGCGTTGTTTTGCGTTGCACCTGCTTGAGTAAGTCAATATCCTTCCTTATCCAGGGTGAAGCTGCGGGTACTCCATATTCCAGGTGGGGTCTTACAAAGGCGCCGAAAAGTCTTCCGAAGAGTTCGGGAGGAAATATTTGAATGCACGTCTGATCCAGTGTAAAGTAGAAGTTGCCTTCTGGACCATCTTTCTACAGCGTTCTGATGGCGATAGATTTGTGGTCGTCTATACACCCAGATCTCTGTCTTGTTACGGTTTCTACTACCGTTTCGCTAATATAGTAGCGATGTTTGAGAGGGACATTTCGACCGGCGCTTGAGTGCAAGATCACGCAATTGGACATGTTAAACGTTAAAATCCACCTTTTCGATCAAACATCCAGTTTTTCGATGTTCGGTCAGAGTTTCTTTGCATCATTAGGGCATTTGACTTTACTCCATATTTTTTTGGCATCCGCCAACATGAGACTCTCGCAATCCATTTCGCTAGTGCACTTTCCACTGTTGCCATTTCCCAGGTAGAGTTACCAACACCGACTCCCTGAACACTGGAAGACAGGAAACTCCTGACCCATGTAAACATTTCTCTTCGGATTCCTGCATCCAAAATCTGCTGTAAAAGAAGCCTGTGTGGGACGCTATCAAAGGCGTTCCTGAAGTCAAAAATATGGCATCTACTGGCTAACCCTTATCTGTGGTCCCTGTCCATTTCTATTTCGAGTATAGAATACTCGTGTGGCAAGAACCTCTTGGTCAAAAGTCATGTTGTTTTCCAAGCATTCCGTCAAATGTCTCTTGGTAATGCACTTCATCATTTTACACGCGATGCAAGTTAGACTGATAGGACTAAACTTACGGGGGCAGTCTGATCATCTTATCACTGACTCATCAGAATTTTGCTTCTGCCGCCTTGTATGGTCATAAGCCCGATACCCTTGCGGTTGATTGAGAGGTAGTGTTTATGCAATTTTCTGCCCATTACGTCAGGATGCTGTAAATTATTGCTGACTGTCTACTCACTAACAATAAGTCTTTAGGACCGATTATCCGCTGTCGGATCGCCGAGTCCAACTTATGGACCGCGCCAATTCTAAGCGGTTTTAGAATTCTCGTCGTCTTCCCTGAAAGTGTTTTTATATAAGGGATTGCGAGCAAGAAGTTCGCGCACAGCGATGAACGAGCGTCGCCTGTCGAGTACAATCTCTTTCAAACTGCAATCATGCGGTATTGCAAACTGTTGTATTTATTTTGCTGTCAGATGCACGTTCATCATATCGGCAGTAACTCGAAACTGTTCCGAAAAGACCGTTAGCTCTACCCTGGAAGACGTCTCCACCCTGAGGCAGGTGAATCTTCTGCAGAACTTTTACCCCACCACCACCACCACCACCACCACCACCTTTGAATGCTCTGCTGGAGGCAAGTAATGAAAGCCTGTGGTTCAAGACAAACACGAAGTTGTGCAAAATCTTCCTCGAGCCTCAAATACCTCGTCCGCCCAGTATGCTACTATAGTCTAACGTCACTCCTTTTGACTTCCAGGAGACCAAGCCGTACAAGGGTGATTCCCAAGCCATGGCTGTAACAAGTTTGGTCACTGCCTACCAGGAGAACGACATCAATTTATTTAAGAAAATGCTGCGCAAACAGCGTGCTATCGTCATGGAGGACGTCTTCCTGAGTGAGTAAATTGAGGTCCTACTCTTCAACCTTTGTATCGAGGTACTCATCAAGCTTATCTAAGCCTATCCCCCAATTCACATCGCTCATATCTTGAAGCGGCTGAATCTGGTAGAGAGGGAGGTAGATTTCCTACCGGTTGTTTGCAGCCTTGGCGACGTGGTTCAGGGCTGGATTGATCGGGCCAATCGGATGCTCATCCCCCGCAGCGAACCCAAATGGAAGAAATTGCTCACGGTCACAAACCGCAAAACAGACTTGCCACCAATTATAACGAAAAAGGCGTAAACGAGAAAGCGCAAGGATTCCAAGACTTTCGGCTAAACTTGGCTCTGTGCAGGTACTTAATGCGGGCGATCAAAATTTAATCATCCTGCAGACTTCTTGACCGCATCATATATATATTATCATGGCGATCGTTGCCTTCTGGTAGGCGATAAACCAGATCTCTTCTTTGTAGGATAAAATGCACTCCATAGACCTCTAGTTCGACAAAATGTCCTTAGCCGACCTTTAATATACCCAATTGCACCTCTATGAAATGAAACCTTGCCCGAAGTCTCCACGTTTAAAGAAGCTGTGCATTTCGTGGCCTGCAAATAGTTTCTATACGCCATGGACTGGACGCGCTTACTATGCGCAAAGCCTACCCTGCTAGTAAAAACTGTTTTCCCACCGGTATTAATGCGTTCATGGGTGTTGCTTTTCAGATGCGGCCGCTTGTTAGGAGTACCGGTCGGGAAAAAGATCTTAGGGACTTACGCGTGCAGCAACCAGGGGTCGACGCAAGTAGAGTGGAAGATGTGACCACAGCCGGATAGCCGACGCACTTCATCGCCAAGTTGAAAGTGCATGAGACAGATCCTGCATTGCCGTCCCGGTGTCAGCAAGCCCAGTATTCGATGGGGGAGTGCAGAAATGGCCCCGTTCTTTCGACAAATACTCACCTTTGGAACCCGAATTGCCCAATGGGAGATGCGAGAGAGCTCACCAAGCGACAGTGGTCGTGTAGTGGCCCAAGCATCGTTTGACCTACATGAAGGACCAAAAACGGACATATTACTGGCCTGCTTAAGGGAGGAAAACGTCGAAAATTATGCATATAAGTGAAAATTGGGTCTCGCCTCTGCTGCGTAGTCTCTTCGTCTGAAAAATCGACTGTGTGAATCCGAAAGCCTGCAAGGTGACCGAGATTTTGAGGAACTTTGCGCCATCTGCCCGTCGGTTCCTAAAGTGTGTCAGATCGAAGTTAATGTGATTGTCACTTGAAGCACCGTCTAAGTAAAAGTCCATTAGGATGGGTAGACATTCGAATGTATTCATACATAAATAGCAACTGAAAGGTATGAGGTAGATTGCCGGCCAAGGACCAGAATCATTAGACAAATAAAAACAATACAATAGTCCGTGGGGCTCAGGCAGAATACTGACATTTCAAAAACATTTTTACGGGAAAAAGCATAAAACTAAGCGCATATTCGAGCGTATGGAATGACGGTTTTAGTTTTGTTTCTCCTCTTTGCACCAAGACATAGATTAAGCAAGCCAATTCATTGACTTTAAAAATACCGGCTTAAACTAGCAAAAAAAGTTGTTCGTTTGCGACTTCGCAGCAATTTGAAAGAAATTTAATTGGTTCTCGCGTCTTCTACGCCAGCACACAGGCTTTGCAATGACAATAATATTACGCCTTTAAAAACTAAACAGACATCACCGAACAACGTCGCTAGACGGCTTACGTCTTGAATAGCTAGAAACGCTGTCAAGTGCTGAAGCATATCGGGATCATTTGATTGAGTGAGATACTCTATTGGTTGGGTAAGGCACTTACGTCTTGTCTGATACTGTCGGAAATATCCAGACATATCTGAAGGTGGCGTTAACCAATCTGGACTGACTAGCAGAATTATGATGACTGGTGACTTTTTACTACTCACTGCTGCACGAACGACATTGAAAGTCCCTGATCGGAGCCCCGAAGGAAGATGAAAGGGTTGTATTCGACCAATGCAATTGGGCGAGCTTGGTGAGCTCTCCTCTCACGTGACTTTTGAGGATTGTCTTATAAAGATCTGCTGAAGAAAATAGTAACTAGATGGCAGCAGTCGGAATGAAAAATTCAACGTAGCGCAGTTGATTGTAGAAGAGTTTCCTCACGATTTGCGCAAAGGAGAATACCTGTGAATGTCAGCCTTCAGAGTAAAGGTATATGTGACATATTCAATCGCATGTGACTTTGCACAATCTGCGCTTGACACAAGAATATCCTTCAAGCTGCTGATTGGCTGTCACTGTGTATGCCCCACGTGCAGCAAATGCTTTCAAAACCCTTTATTCCCAGCCTACTTAATTATCCATGTTGCACACACCGATTGCTTCATACTGAGAAATTTTTCGGCTTGCGTAAACTCAGATACTGGTACGCCTCCAAAATCGACCACATGGAAAAGTTAAATCCAGCGATTATCATAGTAACTAACCTCCCTCCATAAGAAGGCCTTCGTGTAGTCTTCGCTTCCTTTCTTGTAGCACTTCTCACAAACTGTTTGGTCCTCAGAAGCTGCGGGGGAATCTCTCCGTTGTTCATCTTGGTAAAATTTTTGTCCATTATCGATTTTGTAAACTCGTCCATACAAAGGCGTTGCTCCGCACCGACAACAAACAGCATCTGGGTGACGAGTAGAGAGCACAAACTGACGATAAATGCTGGCTGAAAAATTGAAGGAAACGGAATCGGCTTGACTCCGTCTGGGCAGTCTCTCCCTCTCTACTGCAAACTCCCGAATCAGATCACCTGAGTTGGCGAACACCCCCCGACACATGGGACAGGAAACCGTATCTCCTGTAGCGGAAGAATGTGCAGTAAGAAAGATAAAATCAAAACAACTGTACATATATTCTTCGTTATGAGGAAAAAGCACTTTGCTCAATAGAAAACACTTATGATTCGGCAAATAACTGTTTACAATCTTGTCCTTAACATATATAAAGAGCTTTAGAATGACTAACGGGGAGTGAGTTTGAAAAACATGATGTCGTGTCAACTTCTGTTCAATAGTTGCCAACTTATTTACATGAAAATGAGCGACTGGACATGCAATAAAATAACTTATCTATCGTATAAATAAATAAGACAAGTAAGAGAGCTTGCACGATAGCAGCAATGTCATTTTATAGATGCTAGGTTCTCTAATGTTTCGCGGACACCTAGGATAGTTTCTGTTCCTAAGGCAAAAGACGGACTGTGGAAGTTGAGTTCATCTTAAGTTACATCTTTTTTTCCATTTTGCTGAAAAACCTATTAAATAGCCTTAACGGTTTTACTGAAGACCCAAAGAGCATAAAACTGTCGATACCCAGGAGTCCTCCATTAGTCTGTGCCAAATGAATGTTTGAAAGTCACTGGTGGTCTTTTGCAATGACACTGGTCCGTCACAAGCTGGGCAGACAATAAGAATTTTTTCAAATCGGTATTATTTTACAAAACACTAAGAAAGCTAAGGAGCCCAGATTAACTACTGTTTTTTGGCAAATCTACTACACTGATAGAATAATGAGATGCGCTTTACATCCAAGGAAGAAATGAAAGCAAATATTGCCTTAACAGGAACTCTTATCAAGACTGCTCTTCAAAGGCGCATGGTATAGTCATAGTAGTAATATTAAGCATGTTTTTATACATGACGATATTGTGTGCGGGATTCCGCACAGTCCGCCAGAATCAGTTGTGCAGTAGACACTGTCAAAATACTTCATTATATCCTTAATTTTCAATAACCGTAGTTGCATGCGCACGAGTTAATCTGCTTCAAAACACCTCGGAGGTCCTTTTACCAAAAGATCGAAAAGGCGTCAAGGTCTGCTGCAAAGAAACAATTCGGCTTTGGCTCCTAAGAACAAGGAGGTTTGTGAAGTCGCGTTTCATTGTTATTCGTATAGGTGCTTGTGAAATCCTGTTAAAAAAAGAATACCTTTATTGGTCTGCTTTGCTTGGTGATCCTTCCAGAGCCTCATGCACTTCATGTGAACGTTGTTTCCACAACCCATTCGACAAAATGTAACAGGCGGCCGCCTTTCCGAAAGGAATTCTTCCTGACATATAGGACATAAATCCTCGCTAGAGATAGATCTTTGGGCTAAGCCCTGCCAAAAGTGGAATGTAAAGAAGGAGATTTGTCGAACGCACTTCTATCTCCTTACTCTCGCTAACAGGATTCAAAGGCTCTTCTACGTTTTGCACAGGCTCTTTGTTGTTAATCTTCTTCAGGAGGTTGGTAATTTCAATGTCGTTCAGACCAAGCTGCCAAGAGGCTTCAAATTATTGTAAGAGAAATGTGTTACAAGGGTCATATTTGTCGATCCGAAACTTCCGCAAGAGTACCCAACAAATGTGTTTGCAGAGATCTTTATCTTTCGCAAATGTTTTACAACTGCATGAATGCTGGGCACCTATCAGGACCTGAAAATTCGATCCCTGTACTGGAAACAAGATAACAAGCTGACCTTAACTTTTTGGATCTGATTCTCCTCCTGAAGGAGAAAGCCAGTCGGTCCGAAGCTCTGGAGAATGCAAATTGTTGCGTTTAGTGCTTCTTGCTGTCGCTGGCAAACCAGAGGTGGGATTTCTTTTCTATATATCATTGGCGTGAAGGTCCCTACAGAAAACACCCTCATCAATTTGGAGTGAAAAAAAATGAAAACTCTGCAAGAAAACTCAAAAACAATAAAAGTACTGACAGTAATGTCGACGGATTTTCGCAACTTATAACTATTTGAGTAATTACTGCATCAAAAATGTTTTATTACTGTACAGCAGCACCAAATACTTGAAATCATTCCGTTTGCAATTCGTTAATGGAGGAATTCGAAATCCGGCTCTCTCTCTCCAGCTTTTTAGCATACGTTTGCACAAAACGATAAGTACGCAGATGCACGGGCAGTGCAAAAGCGCCCTAATAATGCCTTTTTTGCTATCAGAAGTAGTCGTGATCGAAATTTGCTGATGAAGTCCGCATTAGCGGCAAATCATCCACTAGGGGTCACCTTCGCTTTTGCACAACCAGGGCTTTTTTCATCCCCCTTATACTGGTTAGAGCGGGAGGTACATCCTCAGGGCCAATTTTAGAGCCTCCTTCAAAACGACATATTTTAGGCCTAAAATACTCATACTCACCTACATTTTATCTCTGACCTCAGAGATTACCAGATACCGTGTAATACATATTGAATTTCGAAGTGCAGTTAGCATGCACACTACATGATATAGACATACTATATAACGCACAAGTAATGCGTAAACAATATAGTGTGTAATGTATACGTATACGTATACATATACGAAATGTACATATACGTACATTTCGACACATCCCAGATGGGATTCCTTATAAGTATGAAAGAACTGGCAACACAACCTAACGTAACATAATTTAAAAATCAAAATGCTAAGCAATGTTGTCTTACTAAGGAATTATGTATCAGAGATTTGTCTTTTCGAACTGACGCAAACAAGCCAGCATTATCAATATCCAATTAAACCTAAAAATTAGACCTAGGGGTAGAATTATATTCCGGAGTAGCACAAATGCAACGTTTTAATTCGTAAAAGTACTTTGCTGACATAACGACCTACAACACTCGAGTATTTTCGCTCAACACGCACGATAACCTGATTGTTTAAATATACTCATTTGAAATAGCAATGAAGGACATAATT